TGTCCAAGTTCGTGTTCGTTGCTTCCATGACACTATCTATCCATCTCATCCTCTGCCATCCCCTTCGCCTTTTGCCTTCAAACTTTCCCAACATCAGGGTCTTTTCCAGTGAGTCCTGTCTTCTCATTAAGTGGTCAAAGTATTTAAGCTTCAGCTTCAGTAGCTGACCTTTCAATGAATAGTCTAAATGAATTTCTTTAAGTATTGACCGATTTGATCTCCTTGCTGTCCAAGGGACTCTCAAAAGTCTTTTCCAGCACCCCAATTCAAAAGCATCAATTTTGCAGTGCTCAGCTTTACTTACAGTCCAGCTCTTACAGGTATACAATATCACTAGAAAAACCATAGCTTTGACTATATGGACCTCTGTCAGCAAGGTTGCTTCTGCTTTTGAGCACGCTGTCCAGTTACCACAGATTTCCTTCCAATGAGCAAGTGTCTTTTAATTTCATGGTTGCAGTTGCCATCTGCAGTGCTCTTTGTGCCCAAGAATATAAAATCTGATACTGTTTCCATTTCCTCTCCCTCTACTTGCCAGGAAGTACTAGAACCAGTTGCCATGAGCTCAGATTTTTTGATGTTAAGCTTCAAGCCAACTTTTACACTTTCCTCTTTCACCCTCACCAAGAAGTTTCTTAATTCTTCTTCACTTTCTGCCATCTGAGTGGTATCATCTGCATATCTGAGATTGTTGCTGTTTCTCCCAGCAACCTTAATTCCAGCTTTTGATTCATCCAACCTGGCATTTCATGTGATGTATTCTGCATATAAGAGAAATAAATAAGGCAGCAACATGACGAGACTTGCAATTGACTTTGATTTGAGTGAGAGAGGGCAGTGCAAGCTCACCAGCCTCCCTTTCTCCCCTAAAGCCACCTGAGTCCAGTGGCCAGATATTCATCAGTATGACTGGAGATGGCCCAGCCTTGCCATACTCCCTTTTCCAATCTTAAATCAATCGTTTCATCTTCAGTTCTACCTGTTGCTTCCTCAGGAAACAAGTAAAATGATCTGGTACTACCATCTCTTTGAGGGCCTTGCCACATATTGTGGTAGTCCACAATCAAAAGCTTTTAGTGTTGTTCAGTGAAGCAGAAATAGATGTTTTATTTCTGAAAATTTCCTTGCTTCTCTGTATTCTTGCCATGTCTTCTTAATTTTTTCTACTTCTACTTCTGTTAAGTCTCTACTTCCTTAAAAATTAGAATGGAGCAGCAAGCAAATCATGAAAAATAAGTCAACAACTTGCTAAAGGAGACTGCAAAAAATATACTGAAGAAAATAACACCTTAAAAAATAGCCTAACCCAAAAGGCAAAAGAGGTCCAAAAAGCCAACGAGGAGAAGAATGCCTTAAAAAGCAAAACTGGCCAAATGGAAAAGGAAGTCCAAAAGCTTACTGAAGAAAATACTTCTGTTAAGTCTCTACCATTTTTGTCTTTTATCATACCCATTTTATTTTTTTTGGCTAGGCAATGGGTTAAGTGACTTGCTTAGGTTCACACAGCTAGTAAGTGTCAAGTTCTGAGTACACATTTGAACTCAGGTCCTCCTGACTGCAGGGCCAGTGTTCTACCCACTGCACCACCTCGCTGCCCCTATCATGCCCATTTTTGCATGAAACGTTCTCTTGATATCTAATTTTCTTGAAGAGATCTCTTGCCTTTCGCATTCTATTATTTTCTCCTATTTCTTTGCATTTCTCTTTTAAGAAAACCTTATCCCTCTTTGCTATTCTCTGGAATTCTGCAGTCAGTTAGATACATCTTCCCCTTTCTCTTTCACCTTTCACTTCCTTCTTTTCTCAGTTATTTGTAAAGCCTCATCACACAGCCATTTTGCTTTCTTGCTCTTGTTTTTCTTTGGAATGTTTTTTGTTGTTCTGATTCCATGTCTGCCTCCTGAACAGTATTGCAAACCTCTATCCACAGCTCTCCAAGCAACTCTAGTTATAAGATCTAATCCCTTAAATCTAATCACTTCTACTTCAGATTCATAAGAGATGTTATTTAGGTCATACGTATATGGTCTGATGGTTTTCCCTACTTTCTTCAATTTAAGTCTGAATTTTGCAATAAGAAAGTCATAATCTAAGTCACATTTAGCTCCAGATCTTGTTTTAACTGACTGTATAGAGGTTCTCCACCTTTGGCTGCAAAGTATATAATCAGTCTAATTAGGATACTGACCATCTGATGATGTCCATATGTAGAGTCACCTTCTGAGTGTTGAAAAAGAGTTTGTTATGACTAGTGAGTTATCTTGACAAAACTCTATTAGTCTCTGCCCTGTTTCATCTGTACTCTAAGGTCAAACTTGCCTGTTATTCCAATTATCTTTTGATTCCCTACTTTAGTATTCCAATCCCCTATGATGAATGTGAAATTATTGGATCACTGCCTTGTTGTGGAGGAAGGACTTGCATAGCTGACTGAAACTATGAGGATTACCCAAGACAGACAGGAAATAGTGAAGAGTTCTGACACAAGGTGATCCACTGGAGAAGGAAATAGCAAATCATTCTATTACCTTTACCAAGAAAAACCCATGGATAGTATCAAAAGGATAAAAAATATAACACCAGAAGATGAGCTGCTCAAGTTGGAAGGTGTCCAACATGCTACTAGGAAAGAGCAGAGGAGCTAATGAAGTGGCTGGGCCAAAGCAGAAAGGAAGCTGAGCTTTGGATGTATTTGGTGACAAAAGGAAAATGGATACTGTAAAGATCAATACTGAATAGGAACCTGGAATGTAAGACCTATGAATCAAGGTAAGCTGGATGTGGTCAAATAAGAGATGGAAAGATTAAACATCAACATCTTGAGTGTCAGTGAATTTAAATGGCTAGGAATGGGTGAATTTAATTCAGGTAATTATTACATATACTACTTGTGGGCAAGAGTCCCTCAGAAGAAATGCAGTAGCCCTCATAGTCAATAAAAGGGTAAGAAAAGCAGTACTGGGGTATAATCTCAAAAATGACAGAATAATATCTGTTCAAATCCAAGCAAACCATTCAACATCATAGTAATACAAGTCTATGCTCCAACCACTGATGCCAGTCAGGAAGATCTGAGTTCAAATCTGGCCTCAGACACTTGCTAGCTGTGTACCCTGGGCAAGTCATTTAACCCAATTTTGAGGGGTTTGCCTCAATTTCCTCATCTGCATAATGAGCTGGAGAAGGACATGGCAAGCCACTCCAGTATCTTTGCCAAGAAAACACCAAATAGGGTCACAAAGAGTTGGACATGACTGAAAATACCGAATAACAATAAATATGGAAGAGAAATCAGACTTGTACAGTTTGGCCCCAAATGGCAAAACTAGGAGCAATAGCTAGAAACTGAAGGCAAAATTTAGATATAATTTTAGGAAATCTTCCTAACAGTTAGACCTATTTCCAAGTGGTACAGGCAGTCTCAAAAGGCAATGTTCCCCCTCCTTGGAGGTCTTGACAGAAGAGGCTGGATAACCATTTGTCAGTTATATTATAATGGGGTCTCCTTTCAGATTTGGGTTGGATGAAATGGCTGCTAAGATCCCCTCCATCTCTCAAGTTTTATGAGAGGAAGCTTGGCACAGTGGAGTGGGATCTAGCCATAGAGTCAGGAAAAAAAAAAAGCTTGACACATCCTAGCTACATGACGTCATCAACTAACCTCACGGCATCTCGGCAACTTGGGAACCCAAAGCTTATCACACCAATGAAAGCTAAGTTAGGATCCAAAAAAAAAATATTTTAACAAAGAGATGGAAGAGACTTTAGAAGCCATCTAGCCCAATCCCTTCAGCTTCTGCATCTATGTTAATGAGTTATCTGCCCCAGACCACACAGGTGGCAAGGACAGGATATGAACTAAAGTTCTTTGGTTCCAAAGCCCACAAGTGTCTGAGGCTTAGGTAATACTTTCCTTACAGCAACCTCACAACTACTCTACTTAGCACTGTGCCATCTAGAGAAGGAAATTAAGTCTTAGAGATCTCTCTAAGACTGTCTAAGAGAGGTTAAGTGGCAGGCCCAACTTACCGCCACTAGGTTATGTCAATTCCTCAAACCAAGGATTAGCACCCAGCTCCAGATCTAGTGGGAATGCTTCCCGCTGATCAGAGCCATTTTGGTTGTTATTTGTTTTTACAAACCCTCAGTTTTCCCACTGCCTCCTGAATTGGCTGTGAAAAGAACACTGACCTTGGCTTGAAGAGACCTAGGTTTGAGTCCTGGCTGGGACCCTGACCAGCCAGGACCCCCAGGCCAAGTCAGCTCTCCCTGGGTGTTTTCTCCTGTCAAACAGGGAGAATTCACTAAGCCCTACAGACCTCACAAGGCTCGTGGTGAGGAAAGAAAGCCCTTTAAACCTGGGCCTAGGTCCAAGGAGGGGCAGGGTGGACACATTTTTAAAAGGATGCCCTTGGGGCTAGGTGGCTCAGTGGAGAGAGCTCTGGCCTTGGACCTGAGTTCAAATCCGGCCTCAGACACTTGGCACTTACTAGCTGTGTGACCCTGGGCAAGTCACTTCACCTCGATTGTCTCACAGAAAGAAGGAAGGAAGGAAGAAGGGAGGGAGGGAGGAAGGAAGGAAGGAAGAAAGGAAGGAAGGAAGGATGCCCTCCAGGCTGATTCTGAGCAGCTCCCACCGGCTGGGATGCGTCTTCCCCTCTGCCTCCCTTGGGCGCCCTGTACCCAGAAGAAGCTTCATAAACGCTTGTTTGCTGGTTTTGAATAAGCTCTATTTAGGTACCCTGGCTTAATGGAAAGAACCCTAGTTTTGGAAGTCCCATCACGTTCAACTTGGGCAAGTCCTTTCCAGTCTCTGGGCCTCAGTTTCCTCACCTATAAAATGGGGGGGGTGGGGAGAGGGGAAAGGAGAACAGGATTTAATGGCCTCTAAGGTTTGGGTCTGCCATAAACAAATCTAGGATCCGAAGGTTTCCAAAATGTTTCCAAAAGGGGTCGAGTCCCTGAACCCCAGCCCCGCCCCCCCCACCTCAGGGCCTGACCTCAGCCTTGTCCCTCCTTTCTGACCTCCACCTCAGGCTCAGCGATAAGGCCTCTCCCTCAAAGGCGGTCTCTTCTCAAAACATTTCTGCGAGGCCCTCTAAGGGCCAGTGGGAAAAACTCCTGTCCAGAAAGCCTTAGCCTCTCCAGCTCAAACCCCAATGGCTCCTGAGAGGGTCGTTTGACTCTTTCAGCCAATAGGAGCCTAGAGCCTGCCCGGGCCGCTCTGCAGCTGGACCAATGGATACAAGCAGATGGTGTTTAGGGGCGGGACCTAATGAAGCAGGCCGGCTCTGGTAACTCGAAGCCCTATTGGCTGGGATTCTCCTCCTCCCGCCCACCCCGCCCCCTTCTATAGACAAAGCCTGCCGTTGCTAGGTTTGGCACGAGAGTGTTTATTGTGGCGGCTGCGCTGTCTAAGAGGACTCTAGGGCTGGGGGATGGCAGGGGAAGGGAGCACTAAGCTAGCTTAGGAGCCAAGGTGCCTTGTCCAGGTGCGCATGTCTGAATTTTTGGCACAGTGAATTTGGAGGGAGAACATCTGCCCCAAGAGGCTCCCTGTCATCGGCGGTGTGATAAGCATGGGAGCACAGCCAACAAATAATAATAGCTGGCATTTAGAGAGGACTTTACAAATACTAACTCATTTTATCATCACAACAATCCTGAGATGAGGTCGGTTCTATTATTATCCCCATTTCACAGATGAGGAAACTGAGGCAGACAGAGGATAAGTGACTTGCTCAGGGTCACAGAGCTAGTAAGTGTCTGAACTCGGGTCTCCCTGACTCCAAGTGCGATGTTCTATTCACTATGCCATATGATGCCTATTATGTGTCCACTGAGTGCAAATCCATACTCCACGCTGAGGGAAGTACAGAGTTTGAAGACCCAGTGTCTGACCTCACAGTGCTCACAGCCACCCTAGTAGAATATATAAACTCTTTGGGGTCAGGGACTATTTTTCTTTTTGTCCTTGTCTTCCAGTACTTGGAGTGGTGAATGGAAAGCTGACCTTAGAACCAGGAAGATTTAGGCTCAAGTCGAACCTCTGACACAAACTGGCTATGTGATCCGTAGCAAGTCACTTAACCTCTCCATTACACCAGGTAACTGTCTAAGGCTGTAAGTTCCAAAGGATATGCCCACCTGCATTTGTACAGGGAGTTTCCTCACCCAGGGTGTCCTACATCAAATCCGAGGTGTAGTTGCTATCCCTAGAGCCTAGCTCAATGCCTTGAACACAGATACAGAATAAGTGTTTGATGGATGGGGTTAGAACCTAGCACAGAGAAAAGAAACAAAGACAATTGCTGGGAGGTAGTGTGGTACAACGAGAAGAACATGATGTGAAGTAGGAGGACCAGTGTTCATGTCCCAGCTGCCCTTACCTAGGTGATCATGGGCAAGATGCCTCACCTCTCTGGACCTCAGTTTCCTAATCTATAAAATGAAAATGTTGGATCAGATAGCCTCTAACATCTCTTGCAGCACTAAATCTATGATCCTATGAACTATAATAACACACAATATTATGTCATAATTTGGGATAAAATATTGTCAAGAACACGAATGACTGGAAAAAATAGACTAGTCATTCAGGGAGTCTTAAAAGAATAACTAGGGAAAGGTAACAGGAATTTTGTCCTAAGGCAGTGAAATTTGGAGTACTATGAATATGTCAACATCAGAAAAAGAAACTGACCTAGTCCCTGGTTGACAAGAATAATTAGTTAAAATAAAAAGCTACCAAAGGGCATGTTTCCTCTCTCCAGCAGCCATACCCCTAAACAGCTCCTCCCTGGTTTGGCTCAGCTCTGCCCCCTTCCTCAGGTGGCAGCCTCCCAATAGCGGGTCTTAAGGTATACCAGAGTCTCTATCTCCTCACCATAGAGTAGTGCTACAGGGTCCCTCCTCATCCTCCATCTTCCCACCCATAACTGCATTTGCTTTAAGAAGTTGATCTGAGGATGTATTTTATAAAGCTTGCCCCAGGTGGTGAAATTGCTAGTTCTGTCTCTGATACTGAGGGATAATAGATAGAACAATCTGAGGGCTGGATGCCATGGAATATTAGAAGTATCAGAAGGCTTTAGTGAATCCTCTGGGGAGGACATCTGGAAAGATGCAAACAAAAACCGGGTGGTAAAATGGCAGGATTGCAATCTGAATTGGGGATGGGAGCCCTCACATCAATGAGAGCCACTGCCTGGGAGAGGTATAAACAAAGTGCTCAGAGGAGGTCATAGCCCAGAGCGTCATGAAACGTCAGAACTGGAAGAGCTCTTAAAAATCATCTCATCCAACTCTCACTTTATTATCATTTTAGAGAGGCGCCCCAGAAAGTTCAGGTGATTTCCACAAGGTCATAGAGGTTGTAAGCAGCAGAGGAGGAAGGATTTGAATTCAGGTCCTCTAACCCTAAATGTAGTATTCTTTCCATTTTCCTGCCCTGCCCTCTCAAATCCAGGGATACAATAACTAATTCTTTATATATACTGTCGCAATAGCCTGGAACCCCAGTCTAGCATTGGTAAGGTAAATATAGGTGTCAAAGTTTGTCTGAAATGAAAATTTGGATCTTGAATGCAGATCATTTAGATAAAAAAAATGACAAGGAAGAGCATGTCTCCAAAGAGGCACAATGCCAGTGAGTAGGTTATGACCTCAAGATTCCTCAAAGCATTCTCTTCTATACTTTTCTCTCATGATTTAGCTGCTTGGTCTGATGATTCTGATAAGAGTTTTGTGGGTTTTTTTAAACCTTGGTTGAGATCCAGTACTTTCTCTTTCTCTGTCTGTTTCTCTGCCTCTCTGTCTCTCTCTACCTTGTTGTTTTCTATTTGGTATGCGTGTTCACTGAGGACCTGCTATTAGAGGAAAGGGTCAAGTCTTGAATGTAGAGCTTGGGGTCCCCCTCTGCCCCCAAATGACAACATAATCAGAAGTTAGATGGAACCTGATCATATCCCCTAGACTAACAATACTTACAGGGAACAGGTAGATGTACTTCTAACCTGGAACCCCACCTCTCTCTGAGGAGAGGAGAGTGGCCTCCAGCCTACTTCCTGCTTCCCTTCCTGGCAGGACTGAAAGTAGCCCCTTGGAGAAGAGGCTTGAGATGTCCGTTCTGCCTCCCTTCAAGCCCCACAAGGACAGCTCCTTTGCCAGCATAGCCTCTTACAATGTAAGGCTCATCCACTTCACTCTTTCTTTACCTGTAGGGGCTTGTCCTTACCTTCATTTGTTTATTTGTTTTACTTTATTTCCTAAAAGTCTTTCCAAAGTGCTGGGATAGAAATCAGGAAGACTGGAATTTAAATCTGGCCTCAGACACCTATAAGCTGTATGATTCTGGGCAAATCACTTAATCGCTATCTGCCTCAGTTTGCTCATCTGTAAAATGGGGGTAGTAATAGAATCTACCTCACATGGTTGTTGTGATGATCAAATAAAATATCTGTAAAGTCCTTAGCACAGTGTCAGGCCCATTGTAAGTGATTAATAAATGCTTATTCCCTTCCTCTGCTTTTTATTCTTCATATTTCTGTTTCAATCACAGAATAATATTCCTTTACATTAGCGTACCACAATTATTACCTTCTCATTGTTTTCTTCTAGTTTTTTTTTAGCAATTACATGTAAGAGTTGCTATAAGAATCTTTGAAAAAAATTAAATTTTGTTCTTGACAACACTTTCAAAAACTATGTTTATTTTTGTATCTTTTACTCCATACTGTCATCTTGCTTTCCAAAAAGATTCTCTAAGTTTGCAATTCCACCAGTAGTGAATCAACATTGAGTTTCATTGCTTTTAATTACTTTTGCCAACTTAATGAACATGAGATGGTACCTCATATTAGTGAGGTTGAGCATTTTTCCCAAGTGATCATTCATCATTCATTTCCTTTTTTTGAAAATTGTCCATTACAATACTTTAAATATTTATCAGTTGTAGACAGAAATTCACTGTGATTTTTTTTTTTGGAGGAGTGAGGCAGTTAGGGTTAAGTGACTTGCCCAAGGTCACACAGCTAGTAGGCCAGATTTTGAATTCAGGTCCTCCTGACTCTAGGGCTGGTGCTCTATTCACCTTCTAGTTACCCTACAGCTAATGATTCCGAGAAATGAATATGTGTAATCTTGGTGGCTTTAGGAGTTCCTAAGTCAGGTGCCACTTGCCCAGCAGGAAATGATTTCTATAATCAGGATGGATGAGCACCACTGCCATCCTGTATCCTGTAGCTGAATGACCAAAGAAAGACATGCCCAGCTGGCCAGGAAATCTTGTCCTTGTGAGTTGTTCACACAGTACAGGTTTGAGGTGAATGTGAAATATCTATCTAGCCATCCCCCAAAAGACCCTTAACTTTCAGTGTAATGAGCATAATGAACTATGTGATATCCTTGTATGAGTCCTGTGTTTGTTAATATGTGCTTGTGAGTCTTTTGTGGTTTTTGTGGTAAAAACAAAATAAAATAAAGAGCTGATCTATAGCACCTACTACTCATACTGTACGTTGAGTATCTTTTCTAGAAAAGATCCTATTACCTGCCTTTGTGTTTTACCAGGTTTTATTTTAATATTGCATTGTTGACTTCATTTGCATTGTGGCAATTGTTGTAGCTACAACACTCACCATATGTAACACTCAAATATCACATGTGTATCATTAGTGTTTTCCTTCCCCTTTAAGAGTATGCCTTGGAGCCACTGCTACTACACATTTCTGTCTGTAAAAGATTCCAAGTGGGGCTCAAAGCTTGAGCTGCATCAGCTCAAGGAAAGCTGATCATGCCCAGAAGCACCTTTCACCCTCTAATACATTCCCTGACAATTCGAGTTTCAAATTAAAGTCTAGGGATAGGAATTAATTCCCTCAAAATCCTATTTTTCAAAGGTCTCTAGTTCGTATTTCCAATTCAGGTTCTTCAGATTTGCTTTTCCTGTTCTGGGAAAATTCCTGAATAAGTTACTCAGGCAGCATTTAGACTAAATAGAATTTGTTAAAATGAAATTGAAACAAAAGGTTAAAAATCCAAAGCAACTTAATTATCAGCCACAGCTGCTTGCTGTCAAGTATGAATTTCCAACATCCATTCTTTCTTATGGGTTCTGGCCCCTGTTCTCCCAAAGGGGAAGATATTCCCAAAGGCTTTTTGTCAGTCAATAGTACGAAGCATTCTCAGTCTCAGGAAGCCAAGTCAGGGTAGGGGAAACACAGCTTA